CTGAACAGCAACCTTTTGTTGAATGACCAGAGTAGGTCTTACTTGGACTGTTGCTGCATCTCTTGTGACATCATCTGGTCCCAGCAGATTCAATTCACAGAGGTCCAACACCATTTTGAGCCCTAAGGACCAGTAAAGACTCCAGCAATCAAAATCAAGCTATGAAGGCTACTTGACTGCCACCCCTTAAAAACCCCACACTCACCTGTTTTGTTACTTTCTGTGATCAGATGCTGGATCTGACGCAACATCCCATACCTTTCACCAGTACCACTGGCATTTAGTGGGGTTGCCTCTTCAAACAGGCCCTCCAGGATTAAGGTCCCTACTCCCAGAGACTTGAGGTAGGGAAACTGCTCACACAGTGCTTGAAAGACCAAACAGTAGACTTGATACTCATGTCTGAACTTCATATTCAGACATCTCAGTACACTGCAGTTATATTTGTAACTAGTACCATTTTCCACAATTTTTTTAACATAGCCAATTCCCATACTGTAGTATTCTAGTTTAATGTTGCTTATGCAACAGATGGTCCTGAGATCCCTGTGTGGGATTAAAGAAGTTGCAGCAATCCATAGCATCAATCTTGTGTTGCCTGGACAAGATTAATGACATTTGTTTGGAGCAAGAGTTTTCTGCCCTGAGCAGATGTCGAGTGGAACAGTTTCATGCGAGTTACAAGTTTGGCCTCTGGTAAGTCTTTCAAAAATAATCTGAGCTTTTTGTGTTTGTCAAAAGGTTTAAGTTTCCAATGTGGAATGACTGAATGTTCTCATACGGCCAGAGCGTAAGAGAACACCTGGTTCTAGGCGATCTCTCTACACATGCATAGACTCAATGTTCCATTGCTAACCAGGCAACTTCCAAAGCTGTGTCCTCTGCTTCAAGTTATTTAAAACCAGTTTTCAAATATGCACTAAAAAAAAAAAGTGCGAAGTGAATTGACAGGATTAAGGAGTTTAATGAATTTACAAACCAGTCTCAAGGCCTCAAAATGCAAACACCTGCTTCATTAGGAACAGCAGCTGCACGGACTCAAACTGGCGCACACACAGTTTGAGTCAACGCCAAAGAGTTACGCATTTTTTTAACTCACCGTTCATGTCCCCTGACCCCCTGGTGTGTGCCTCCGTGAACAAGGCGGGCTGCACTCGGTAGAAGAGAGACTTCTGCCACCACTTGAGCGGCGTAACGACAGGCCGGGGGCTCAACAGTATGATAGTGATGGCTGCGGCGAGTATGGCCACCAATATCAGCCAGAACACCACCACCAGGTAGCAACGCAGCCTCCGCCACCTTGGACCTCCCGCGACAACCTCCACCTCCTCCTTGGTCAGGGAATTCCGCTGCTGACCCGGCTCCGCTCCAGGCTCCGGGGAGAGCAGCGGCGCAGTCTCTGAGTCGGCCGCACTGCCCGGCTGCCCGCGGCCTGGCACACTGCCGTACCCGGCGTCTCCTTCGTTCATGGTGCTCGGCTGTAGACAAGTAGCACAGATTAAGGTATTCAGTTTCACTTAGAAAAAACACAGTTAAAGCAGGCAAAAACTAGTAAACTGTCCGCTTCCATACCGTTTTGTTGGTCTCTCCAACGACCGCTTTATCACTTCGCTCCATGAACCGCACAAGGTCTACAGATGGTCAAACAGGTGCTGCAGGATTCACCTGTACAAACTCAGAATGCACCGCTGCTACAATCTGCATTGGCCTTTACCCGACTTTTAGCTGTTTTGCACAGGTGTTTCAGTTAATTACATCAAGGCCTTTGGTATCTGATTGGTCAAGCCCCAATCCCGCAGACTGGACGCACCTTGTAGTTTCACATTGGCATGCAGATCACAGACTGAGGTAGGAGGTAGGAGGTAGGGGCCTTACGATAATTAACGGGCGATGTCTGAAAATCCAAGAAGGTCGATCAAAACCATTCACTGATGTTCTGATACTTTCACAATCCCTAGTCTTCAAACCACCAGGTTGTATAATAAAATGTTCTAACCTGTTTTCAGAGTTACAACCGTTTCCTATGTCCTGGTCATAGGTGAGTCACCACTTGGGAAACAAATTAAAAATCCTTTTCTGTCATCTGTTGTAAGAGTCTTCGGGGATCCTATAGATAAGCCACCTTCAGAAAAAAGGTGAGTGACTGGGTTTTTCAGACAGCATCATATCAGTAAAAATGCATCCATTCATTCAGTGTGGGCAGCACTAATGCAGCAATAGAGTAAGTAGTGAAACCTGTCTCTGATTTTCAAGACTCTGTGCTTTAAATAATGGGCAGGATCAGCCGTGTCTTAATGTTTGATGCCAATATTATTAATATATTTTGTTTTTATTTTCATTGGAAGTGCATATTAATGATTATTTTATCAAATGATAATTGTTCTTTTTCTTTCTTCACATCTGATGATTATTTTATACATGATCTAATATAAGTCTGTGTTATACAGTATGTCTGGTAAGCATGCTGCTATCTTAGCCAGTTCACCTGGGAAAAAGATCATGTCAAAGAGGCACCTGTTTTAAAGTCAGAGCCTGGATTTAGACCATTTTCAGTCAAAAACCCTCTTGAAAACCTTTTAGATAATAATATCAAAAATGCATCATCCATTAATGCAGTTCACCGAAATGCTGATGTTTTGCAGGGTTTTACATATTACAGTTTTTTCGCCTTACGGTGGTTGTTGATTTAGGGGCCCCTCTGGCGGCCTCTGAGCCCCAAACAACTGATAGTTGTGATGCCAAAGCTCGACACAGAAAGACTGCAGCCAGTTCGCCAAGCACTCTGTTGCTTATCTAAACACTATGGAGTCACAGTCATTACTCACATTTTGTGTCTGAGGTTTCTTGCCTCACCCTCTGGTCCTCTTTTTTCCTTTCCGCCTGTTCTTCCTTTTAAACTTTGTCCACAACTGTTCGTAGCTGTGCTCTCTGAGTGGTTTGACTCGTCGGGAGTCAGGAGGTGAGAAGGGCATCGTGTCCAATAAAAGCTCTGCTCAGTCAGTTCACACAGCGGTGCTGAGCTGCACCACACCCTTGCAACACATTCTGAAGAACTCCTGCTGGCCAAAGAGAGCCCCCGAAGCCCCTCCTGTGGTGGTCTGTGTTTCTGTTTTTTAATTTTTATTTTTTAAGTCGCTCCTTTTCTGCTACTACTTTTAGAATTGATTAACAGTTTGAGTCATTTTGGTTCTAGCCCCTTAAAATATGAGAATCTGCCATTTTGTTTTACAAGGTCTAGTAACTAAATATTATAAGTGTTGCTTAGACAAAACAAGATGTGACGTCTGGCCTTTGAAAAGCTGTGGTAGACATTCTTTTGCTATTTTCAGACATTATATGAACAAAACAAAATGTAGAAATTATACAACAGATTAATTGATTAATTGATAATAAAGACACTGAGCAAAATGGAGGAAAGCTCCTGCCAACTTATAGGCCTGTTCCTACCCATACAAGATCCATAGTTCCCCTGCTCATCATTTTTGGGGTTTCTAGACATCCACCCAGTCAACATTCATTATAAAAATAACAGATATGTGTGGCTAAGCCAGCTCTAACAGGCTGGCTCGGCTCCAAATTCAATGGCCCCTTAACAGAAGAGTATATACTTACAGCTAAAATAATTTCCAGCAACTACAACAGCTGTTACAATAAGGAGGATGAGGTCATTAAGTAAAGTGACTTTATTAATATTTCTGTTTTCAGGTCAGCAGGGTGCTTTTAAAGAGTTAGCAGGGGAGGCTTTGGGATAGAAGACAAGGCTGGATGAATTCCTCAGCCTAAATACAGTATATGATTAGAAACCTGTGCTATTTAACCCCAGACAGGTTAGTCTTACCACTTTAATGTGAGGCGTGTGCTGGAGTCTTGTACTGAAGTCCAGGGCAACAGCCCTAAACCTCTGCAAAGCTCAACAATTCGACTCGTGTGGCTCTACAGTAGATATCACACACGATAATGTAAAATGGCGTTGTAAACATGTAAATTTATCAGCAACACTGGTCACTGCATTAATGATCCATCCATGATCCATTTGTTTACTGTTGACAAAATTTCCTGCAAGAGAACAACTTTCACACATCCCATACAAAGTGCTACAGTGCACATTTAATTTGTGTGTTAATTCCTGGGAATCTCACAACCTCCTCCCCTAGTCTGGCCCCCCTCTCACCTCCCCTGCATTCCTCATCCTTTTGTGTCTGTCCCTCTGGCTTCCCTCTCCTATCCCACGTGTTTATGATCTTGCTATAACAAGCTATTGCTATCCGTGTCACTTTTGCTCCTTGATATCACTGTGTGAAACTAACTTGCTGCATCACACCACAAGACACTTGGCTCGCCCGGGGAGTAATTCAATGTAGAACCGCCACTGATTGCCCAACTCATAAACAGGTAAAAGGAGTGTGTTTCATATACAGTACACTGATCAGCCACAACATTATGACCACCTGATTAATACTGTGTGCACAGGAGTCAATACAGCAGTTGGTTGGTACTCGTGTCATTCTGCAGGTCACTGTGAATCTTCTGTGAATCCGTTAGCTTCCATAGTTCTACTGTCAGTGACAGCACAACTGTGTCAACCATTCAGTGAAAAACATATGTAGAAGGAATGAACACTGTGGTCATGAGGACAAGTTAGAGACAATTTATTAGACACATTGAACATGGTAATCGTAAGCCCACTTCAGTTCCTACATGTCAACACTGAAAGTAAAGACAACTGAAAACACTGAGCAGTGAACATTTTACAATTTGTGTACTGTAATTTGCACAACTACCATATATAATGTAAACAGGAGGAGTCACACTCAAAGAACAATGACCCTTTCAGGGAAAACTATCAAAGAAAATTTTGCAAAAGAGTGATCAGAGTTTGATAAGTTTAGAAAGTTTTAACAGCAGATTACTTGTTATTCCAGTTATTCAAATGTAAATATCTGCTGTTGGGAGAAGCTGGGTTTATTTCTTCCACTTCTGTGGTTTCCTCAACCCCAGAAAGTGGCGAAATCTTTTCCACCGAGACTTTGGTTTAGTTGTCCCTGTGACGATCTGTTCAGAAACCACAACATTCTCTGTGAGTTCATCGTGAAAGGCACCAGAGAGAGAGTCCTGGTCCTCACATTGTCCATCCTCATGCAGGTCCTCAGGGTCATCATGCTCTTCACAGCTGGTGACTTCCTCAACATTGGGCTTAACTAAGAGCTGGTTATTGAGTGAGAACTGCTTCTCTAGCATGTTTCCCAGTGTCTCCAGCAGTCCCTCATAGGCCATGACCTTGTGATCAGCTTCCTTCTGAATGCTCATTATCTCCTCTGCCATCTTTTGACTAAGGCTGTCTATCTCAGTCCTTAAAGTCTCGATCTGGCTGAGATCTTGCTCCACCCTGTCCGCATGAGCGAGCTTTTCAGTCTCTATCTCACGCTGAAGGGCGTCTTTGTCCGTCCTCAAGGCCTCGATCAGCTGGAGATCTTTTTCCATCCTGTCCAACCTTTAGAGCGTCTTTCTCCGCCTTCAGGGCGTCTTTCTCCACCTCTTCACAGCTGGTGACTTCCTCAACATTGGGCTTAACTAAGAGCTGGTTATTGAGTGAGAACTGCTTCTCTAGCATGTTTCCCAGTGTCTCCAGCAGTCCCTCATAGGCCATGACCTTGTGATCAGCTTCCTTCTGAATGCTCATTATCTCCTCTGCCATCTTTTGACTAAGGCTGTCTATCTCAGTCCTTAAAGTCTCAATCTGCCTGAGATCTTGCTCCGCCCTGTCCGCATGAGCGAGCTTTTCAGTCTCTAGCTCATGCTGAAGGGCGTCTTTCTCCACCTTCAGGGTGTTGATCAGCTGGAGATCTTGCCCCACCCTTTCTGCATGAGTGAGCTTTTCAGTCTCTAGCTCACGCTGAAGGGTGTCTTTCTCCACCTTTAGAGCGTCTTTCTCCTCCTTCAGGGTGTCTTTCTCCACCTTTAGAGCGTCTTTCTCCTCCTTCAGGGTGTCTTTCTCCACCTTTAGAGCGTCTTTCTCCTCCTTCAGGGTGTCTTTCTCCACCTTTAGAGCGTCTTTCTCCTCCTTCAGGGTGTCTTTCTCAACCTTTAGAGCGTCTTTCTCCTCCTTCAGGGTGTCTTTCTCCACCTTTAGAGCGTCTTTCTCCGCCTTCAGGGTGTCTTTCTCCACCTTTAGAGCGTCTTTCTCCGCCTTCAGGCTGTCTTTCTCCACCTTTAGAGCGTCTTTCTCCACCTTCAGGCTGTCTTTCTCCACCTTTAGAACGTCTTTCTTCACCTTCAGGGCGTCTTTCTCCACCTTTAGATTGGCTTTCTCCACCTTTAGAGCGTCTTTCTCCGCCTTCACGGTGTCGATCAGGTGGAGGTCATGCTCCACCGTGTCGCAGTGAGACTTGTTTTCCGTCTCATGCTCACTGTGAAGACTTTCCACCTGCTGCTTGAGAGAGAGGGCATCCTTTTCATTTTTCAGCTCATGGTGTGGAAGCTCTAGCTTCTCCAGTTCTTCTTGGAGAGCGCTGATCTTGCTCCTCTCCGTGTTGAGCTCACCCATAAACATGTCCTGGCATATGGCGTATGCCACTTTCAGCTCCTCGTAATCTCTCTGAAGATCTTTCTTCTTTCTCTTGATGTCTGCCCACCTGAGTGGCAATGTTTGAGGCGCTGAGAGCTTCAGCGTCACTGTACTGCCTCAGCCTCTCAAGCTCCTTTCTAGTTTCTTTCTCCTTGTTGATAAAGGATTCAGTCTTGGCTTTCTGGTAAGCCAGCTGTTCCTTTGTCTGGCTTAGCTCTTGGCTAAGTTGGATCCTCCAGTTCTGTTCGTAGTTAAAACTCTCTCTGCCCCTGCTCAGCATCCCCTGGAGCCTCCTGATTTCCTCATGAAGGGCTTCGCAGTTCATGTTCTTGTTCCTGGGAGCTGTTTGTCTGTTGTTTCTACAGCTTTGGGGTCTGTCGCTAGAACTTGCCATTTTTTTACTGGAAGAATCACGTTTTACGTGAATACCGATGTATTTCACTGAATAGATGTTGTTTAACGTTTGTTTGTCGAGTTAATCTCTCTTGCTCACCAGCGTGGTGTCTCTATTGAAGTTCAGAAGTTGTGTGATTGCCTGTTAAGCTGCAGTTATTAGGTGAGCTGCTGCGCGAGACTTGGTGACGTCACGAAGATCAAAGCCAGGTCGTTGATGACGTCACAGCTCTGAATGCTGCAGATCTGCATGTTTACATTCAAAATCTGTCAGTCAAATGTGCTGTAAGCTAACAGGCCACCGTAGTAACATTCTAAACCATTTTAAAACCTGCAGGTTAGGTGAAAACATGACTTTCCCTTTCCCTGAACTCAGAGTGAAACTCAAATTTCACTTTAACCACTTTGAATAAGTCTTGTTTTGCTGTTAAAAAGTAGACAGTTTGTATTTCTCTACTATTCTTGCCGCTGGGCAGTGGCGTTTTTGGCTTGGCGAACCGGGGAGCCGCCCGGGGCGTGGTTTTTTCATGACACGTGGGGGGCGGCACAAGCACTTGGAAAGAAAATAATCTGCGCCGCTAAGCGGTTTTCTATTATCTATCATATGTGGCGCCCCTGCTTGATGAGAAGGTACCGTGCACAGAAGAAGTCAGTGACACCTTGACTTTCTTCCAAATAACGCACATTTCATTCATGGTTTTCAAATGTTCTGGAGAAGGATTTTTGCAACTGAGAAAGAAGTTTGTCTTACACCAGACCTGGGCATTTTACGGCCCGCGGGCCACATCCGGCCCTTTGGGCGTCCTTGTCTGGCCCAGGTGAGGTCCATCAAATCAGAACATGAATGAAAAAAGTTCACGGGTGAACTTAAGATCCCTGACTTACCAGGTGAGAGACAGGTGATCTTGGCCAGCTAACCCTCAAAATGTCAACTCACGCCAGAAAAAGAAAAGTTGATGCCGAATGCCGCGTTTTCAACATGGACTGGAAAGTATTTGTTTACAGAAGTCAAAGGTAAAGCGGTGTGCTTAGTTTGTGGTACACAGGTTGCTGTGTTCAAGGATTACAATTTGAATCGCCACTACGTGACCAAACATGAGGAGAAATACAAGAACTGGTCGGATGAAGAGCGCGCAAGAGAGTCGGATGCTTTGCTAGTGAAACTGCATAACCAACAAAGACTTTTTACAAAACTTTCCACACCCAGAGATGCAGCTTTCAAGACAAGTTATGTCATATCCCACAAAATCGCCAGAAAAAATGAGCCGTTTTCTGACGGAGACTTTATTAATTTAGTGTTTGTTGGACTCTGCAGCATTAATATGCCCGGAGAAAAAGGGCGCATATGAGAACGTCCCCTCTCCTGACGCACTGTAACGAGGAGGGTTGAGGACATCGCAGGAAATCTTTGGATCTACCTACATATGTGAACAGATATTCTCAGTGATGAAGTTCAACAAATCCAGATTTCAATGCTCTTGTTCAAGCCCAACCCAGACTGGATTTCTCTCACTGAACAAGTAAAATGAACTGAAAATGCAAATCTTTATCATACTGCAAAACACCTTTTCAGTGTTATATGAAGTTGAAAATAAAATGGAACTGTGATGTAATGTTTGTTTTTCTTTTTACTGTTTATTACTTTATAGGAGTAGTTTCCTGTTTGACCTACACCACAATTTCATATATTTATAATCCAGATTTCAATGCTCTTGTTCAAGCCCAACCCAGACTGGATTTCTCTCACTGAACAAGTAAAATGAACTGAAAATGCATATCTTTATCATACTGCAAAACACCTTTTCAGTGTTATATGAAGTTGAAAATAAAATGGAACTGTGATGTAATGTTTGTTTTTCTTTTTACTGTTTATTACTTTATAGGAGTAGTTTCCTGTTTGACCTACACCACAATTTCATATATTTATAGAATATGATTATTCTTCTGATTAGCTAACTCTGGTCTCGCCTGGGGAGTAATTCAATGTAGAGCCGCCACTGTTTCTCATTAGGCCGGTCACAATGGTGATGAGACTGTTTCCATGGTAACAAATGTAGTCCTCCTCCGATCTCCCGATGTCCTAAAATGTCACAAGACAAGAGCAAATTTAATATTGCTGTCATCAAATTTTCTCTATTCTGCGTGTAACTTTATTTTATAGGCAGATAACACTTATAATACAGGAAGTGAAAAAAAATGTTTACAAATTTATAAATTATGTGTTTGATCACATAAAGAAGGTTAGGGTCTTCGTCTCTGGACCTCATCATCTGGATCATTTCTATAACGGGAGATATTAAAAATATGTTTATAAATTAGGGAGATTGCATTAGCCCAGAGTTTAGTGTCTATTGTGGGGGTTTGAAGTGACTTACCGTAGACTTTCCTATCCTGTTGCTCCAGCACAGCCTCCTGCTGCAGTGCCTCTGGTGACAGCTGGGGGGCGACAAGGAAGCAGACGATGATGATGCTGTTGTGCCCTGCAGACGGAGACAGCGCACAGAATGATCAGACAGGTATGTTGACCTGTACTGCATTGTAGGTATTTCTGATATTTGGCCTAGCCACATTGATAGGTACTCATAGATAGTGATATTCCTGAATTATAAACACATTAGTTTAGTCTGTGGCTTTGGGGAAAGGCACATGTGAAGTAGACCTAAATTAGTCAGCAGCAGCTGGTGCTGCAGCACCACTGTATGGTTACTTTGGGTACCTTTCCAAAATGTACATTTCTCCTTAGGCAGTCACAGTAAACTGGCAAAAATGATTAATATGCACAAACCATTTGCATATTACAGATATATTATTGCTCATATATAGTGATATCAGTGTATATGTTATAACCATCAGCCTGTTGGCTTTAAGATCAGAAATGTGAGGAGAGGGGCTCAGTGTGTACTGTAACATACTGTCTTTCAGCAGGTGAAACAAACTGCAGCCCATCCCAACCAGGATTTGTTTAGCTTCCATCAAGAAACTCAGATTCGGTCTTAATCTGGAGCATGTGTACCTTTTCCTCCTATTCCATGTCACAGGATGCCTTAATACCGAGTTGAAAACCAAGAGTTTAAGTAACATTTCAGTATGATCCCAAAATAATCATAGGTTCTATTTTAAAGGGTCTTTATTGATTCAACATATTTATCTGTACATACAGTTACACCCACACCCCTTTTTAAATTTAGTTTTTCTATTAAGGTTCCTTAATATAGAATGAATTGACCTAGAGTGTTTAATTCACCTGGACGTTTTAGCAACAAATAGATAATACCTATTTTTATTATTGCTTAGTTTATTATTTATTTGTTTAGTCTATAAAATGTGAAAAAACAATGACAAATACCCTCCACAAGCTCCCAGACTGACATTTTGAAATAACTTCTGTCTGATCATCACTGCAATATCAAAATAACCAAAATAAGCTTTTTTTTAAATTATGTTAGACAGAAACAAAGATGCAAATGTCAAAACTGGGACCAGTGATATTTTTGGGGGCTTTTTTTCTGTAAACAATTTTAATCAACAAATGAATGATCAAAATTGTTGCATAACTGACTAATCCTTTCAGCTCTATTTTGACTGTATTGTTTAGACTGAGTATGTGCCCTGTGCCCTTAATTTAACATGATTCATACACTTGAATTACCTTTTTATATGAAATGTGAAATATAAAGTGCATCAAACAGGGCTTACACTTTTTCCTCTCTGTTGTTCCATGTTCATGATCCAGTTTGTATCAGCATCTGTTTTACAGCCCCACACTCCTGCCCCCTACTGTACATTTCACAGCCAAAAGATTTGAACTGTTAGCGTACTCATTGTTTATACTTTGTTGTAGGTTGATTGTTTGTGAAACAATCTCCTGTTACTGAATATGAATAAGAAATGCTGGGAATTCAGCCTGTGCTGTTCATCCTCGTATGCATTCTCTGTGTACCATTTATATATGCTGATGTTATACATTAGTAATGACTTATTACTTCCTCTCCTACGGCCTGCACCCATAAGATGCCGAGAAGAAATCACATGATGAGGGAGTGAGGAAGAGAGAGACGGGTAGACATAGATTAGCTCTGAATGGGAGATGACTACAGGCTTAGACATACACAGGGACACACTCATGCCTCTCTCCCTTAGCTGTAGCATACACTGCTGCCGCTGCAGTCATAAGGATGCAAAGGCAGATGACGAGAGAGTAGAGGGGAGACTGGTGGAGTGAGACAGGGCGGGGCTGCTCAGTGACACAGCGAGAGGCAGGAGAAGGAGGAAGCTGCTCAACAGACGACCAAGAAACATAGGGAGGAGGAGGAGAGAGAGAGTGTCCTCAGGACGCCAGTGCCGGCAGCACAGGAGGGGGGGAGGGGGGGTACTTCCAGACTGGATGGGCCCAGCGATGCCTTGATGGAGTATGGGCCAGGTTTTAGGATTCTCCCACTGCCGTGAGTCTGCTTTTGTTCTGCTCTTCCCTTCTGTATTTTCCAGGCGTTTGTTTATCATCATGCATGCAGCTCAGCATCTTTTCTTGCTCACTGTTGTGAGCATCGTATGTGTTAGCTCGCCCCCACCCCCCCCTCGCCCGCCCCCCCCCCCCCCCCCTGCCCATTCTGGAGCGCCTTCTCTCGGCTTGGAGTTTTTGTAACTTTTGACCTGCCACCTCTGATAAACACATGCCGTGCAGAAGCAGACCTATTTTGCTGTGGCTGCGTGAGTAGGCTTTGCAGGTGGGCACATCAGCAGTGCAAGCTATTTCTCCCTTCAGTTTTCTGTTGTGCTCTCATATCTGCCTTTTCATTTTGTTCCTGTCAAAACATTCATCTGATGTTTTTCACTACAGTTAAGTTAAAGAGGTTTTCTATTTTTTTTTGTATGTATTCATACATGCACAAAAGACAGTGTGCCTCATTCACTGCCCTGCCTGGCTTGATTTATTAGCTATATTACTGGCTTTCTAATGTAGTGAAGGCCGCTCTGTGAGGATGTGAGTCTATATTCACTGACCTACAGTGTCACGTTCCTTTGATCTGTATGCGATATGCACAGTATTATGTTTAGTGGCATATAATGCTATTTTGTATAGAGATATAATACTATACAATCTGTGACTTCTTCAATCACATGAAACCTAGTTCACTCTCATTGCTAAAGTGACTCATAACAAGGCACTGCAGTATTTGCTGGGGCTTTTAGCTCATCACCCAAGTACACATTTCACATTTAATGTTTTGAGAGGCACCCTGTTATGATGAATGTGAGATGGTGGAAGGAATGGGTTTTCCATATGTAGAAGCAGCACTATTTCTGACAGTCTTTTTACAGTGACACTGTTTCCAATGTTTTCTTCCAGAGGAATATGGCTCTGATGACACTCTGTTTTCTTCCAGAGGAATATGGCTCTGTGGCGTCCACTCCGGACTCAACACCTCCGTGCAGCGATGGTACGAAGCAGACACTTAACGCTCTGTCCATCCACTGAGAAACTGTGGGACAGTACTTGATTCCTGTCATGTAACTCCTCTAATACTAGCAGTGAAGGTCCACAGGTTGGAACTAAAGGAGAGATGTCTTTACTCTCAACAAAGAAGGTTTCATCTTTAGACATCATACACCTTTTTTCTCTCAGACATCAAATGACACACCTGAGTGCTTTCATCTGACAAATGCAATTACTAAGAGCAAAATCACACCCCTGAAATAATACACACACTGTTAGCAACAGTCCCTTTAATTAAACAGCTAAATGTTGGAAATCACTCCTCTCCCCAGAGTGTGTACGTTTGTGTATATTTTCTCTTTACTCTCTGGTCTGTTTCTTTTGTCTCATGTGTTTATGTCTGTCTGTGTACTGGGGTGACCCCTTATCTTGTTTTTGTCTCCATTCAGGGGGAAATGAGGAGTCGGAGATGTATGAGCTGCAAACAGCAAGGGAGTGGTCTGACGAGGAGGAAGGGGGAGACGGAGATCCAGATGATGATGAGGGACTGGCCTCGTCCTCGTCAATCTGGGGCACACCGCGTCAGAACTCCTTCGAGCTGACTTTCTCTTACATTGCCATTGCAGACGCTGAGGCGGTGGGAGCCTCTCGACACCATCGTGACAGACGCAGGGGCGGCTCTCGGGGAAGTCGCACTCCTTTGATCCACACAGACACTCTAGAGACACTGTTGGACTCTCCTGACATAGAATGGGACCCTGAGGCCTTCCTCAGTCGAGAAGAAGAAGAGGACGCTTTAGGAAGGAGAGAACAGGAGACCGTGGAGCTGAGGATGGCGAGCACTGCAGGAAGCGGAGAAAGAGAGCAGCAGAGGCACATTGAGACTATTACAATCCAGCCTTCTTCCCAAAACCTGGACCCAGAAACTGAGGGCAGAGAAGCAGGAATCCAAAGAGAGGAGACTCCCAGACTGTCCCAGTTTGTCCAGCCTCCCTCTCCGCCCTCGGCTTCCCAGCAACAGAGCCCCATACAAATACTTCAGGGTGAGCAATGGGAGGAATATGTGTTTTTTTTATTCCAGTGTAGTGCAACATAGAGGAAGACGCAGCGTGTCTGGGAAAGCTCATGATGCTTCCCAGATGAACTCGTGATTTGGGAAATGATGCGCCAGTGTTCACCCTCTTGCCAGCACTGTTAACTCTTCCTGATTCCTCATCATCTCCAGGGGCCATGAGTGCAAAACCCTGACATACCAAGATTATATAGGCTGACTTGTGACTTGAGGTGTACCTAGGTGGGAACACAGTAAATATTTACTGTAGGACTGAGATCATCCTAATCTCCATACTGTCAGCTATAGTTTTGCCTATTCACTATTAGTCTTTTCAGTTTTACAGAATTCATTTGGATAATCAGTTTTAGTCCAAAGCAGGAACTTTAAATACTGTATGTAGCTGAAAATACTGGCATAACTTTTATCATTCAGGTCTTATATTCTAAATTACTCTACAGCTTTATACTGTTTGTGGAAATGCTGATCAATTTTAAAAATTTGCCTTAAATCATTGCACTTTTGAAATAGACATTTTAGATGATTAAAATGACCTAACATAAATATTAAGAATAATGCTCACTCCTTAAATGTTTCTGTAGGGAACACTATAAAGAAGGACAGAAATCAACATAAATCAAATGTCTGGAACCACAACTGCCCAAATAGTGAAGCAAATTGTGGTTTCTGAAACTTAATTTAGCATCTTTTGTCAGAGGTTTTAGCTCAAGCTGAGCAGTACAGTACAACAACTAGCATCGTCATGATAGTGACATCATCTTCTCTTCCCTGGCAGCAGCAGCCTTGCCGACCCCTGAGCCAGAGCCTCTCATCACTGGGGAGACCATTTCAGTCAAGCTGCTCACATCTGTGCAACCCAGAGGTCCTGCGTCTTCGTCGCCAGCTGCTATTGATCTAAATTCTCAGGAACAGCTGGTCAGCGATCACTGGTTTTCAGCACTTAACCTATCAGAGGACCTGGCAGCATGCACCCACATGGCAGGTACACCATAAATACAGTACATAATTACATCAGTATCTGTAGATTTCCTCACTCATCTGACCTCTGTCCTTCTACTCCCCTCACGTCTTTCTGTCTTTGTCTTGCTGCTCAGTGAGATCCATCAGCTCGCCTCATTAATCAATAGTTTAAATAAAGAAGCTATCTAATTTCGCTTTCAGCATGAAGCTTCAAGAGCAGGCAGACAAAGATAACACCCCCACCCCTGACATGTAAGTGCTGGCTGTTCACTGCGTCTCCATAGTTACCCTCTCCCGGGAATCGGGAACAACTGGCTAACCGTGAGGAGAACATTCCTGCCACTAGCTGACTTTTTGGACCCAAACATCATCCTCGCTGATGTCGGAGTGTATTACTGTTTGACACACCCCCACATACAGGGATGTGTGCAGGGTCTTTTCATGAAGGCATGTGGGGTTTGCTGGGTTTGTAGGAGTGAGTGAGACAGAAAAGGGGGAAAGAGAGCGAGAGATAACATCCTGTCTTTCAGCTTGATGGCACTTTAAGTGGACTGTCACTCAGAGTGGAGCTCTGTCTTATTTTAGTAGTGGGGGCGCAGGAGGCTCTCAGACTGCTGATGAATGTTGCTCAGGCTGATGACAGAGTTTAGGTTGTCCAGAGTAAAGTGCACACGTGCGTCTACTTAAGTATCATATATTATTACCTGTTCTAGAGGCTGCATATTTTTTGATTCTCAGTTATAATTTTGCCAACTTTAGAAGGTTATTTAAGTAAGGTTCTTGTATGGCTGTGTGATTTTAGACAACATTTAACATTTGAAAAATGTGGCTTCTTTTGTTATGAATAAGATGTATAAAGGTGCATTCTAGAATAACATGTGAATAACCTGTTTTACCATCTGCACTTGTATCAAAATTAAATCAAAACTCAGTCTATCATATCATCACTCAAATCACAAAATGTATTGACACTAAATCCTACTTGTTGGACTAACTACATGTACTTTTTCATGTTTGGGTAAACAGATAAAGTAATTACAGTAAGTCTTGTCCAAATCTACACATATAAAGAAACATGACTGTGTTACTATATTATTGGGCTTTTTCTTTGGTGCCAGGCATGGAGACTTCCTCTTTGAAAAATATCAAACAAATCTTCAGCAAATTACACCATGTGATACATAAATTACACTCACTCATCTGTTTACTGTGAGTAGTGGTTGTGCCTGGTGGCATGACTGAAAATTAACCCAGGTTCTCTTGTTTCAGTTGTCGGATGAGACCAAAATAACAAAATGCTATGAAAAAAATGTGTTACTGTATTATTGGGCTTTTTCTTTGGTGCCAGGCATGGAGACTTCCTCTTTGAAAAATATCAAACAAATCTTCAGCAAATTACACCATGTGATACATAAATTACACTCACTCATCTGTTTACTGTGAGTAGTGGTTGTGCCTGGTGGCATGACTGAAAATTAACCCAGGTTCTCTTGTTTCAGTTGTCGGATGAGACCAAAATAACAAAATGCTATGAAAAAAAATATTGTAAATTGATTCTTCTTGAACATGAAGGCTCGCTTTAAGAAAGCAAGAGCTGACTGTTGAAGAAAGAGCATTGTGTGATTGCTGTGAATCATCTCTTTATGCATGAAGCTATTGGAGTCTTGAAGAGGGGTGGGCGGTGCTGTGAAGAAGATTATTTTGGGCTGGCAGGCCCTAGGACTGCTGAGTGAGCAGTGGGTGGCCAAAAACAGCTCCGAGGGCCAAGGGTAACACAGTGGGACAGAGAGCGGGGCAGAGAGTGTGAGGGGGAAACACTGGAGCAGCGGTCAAAATGGCCAGTAAAGGTGAGACCTCGGGCTCGACATGAAAAGAGGATCATCTGAGACAGCAGAGTTCACCTGCATGGACGATTTGACTTTTAACTGATGAGCTGTTAGGATGTAGCATGATAGTCTCCTTATCAGTAGACTTCATTTAAATTAGCACCTGCTTTTCAAATGAGTATAAGCTGTCCTCTCGTGGTGTGCTGTTAGCAGGTACTTGTTTTACTTATCGCCTGGGTTCTCGTAGATCTTCCTGTTTCCTCTTCAGGCTGTAGAGCTGGCACTGGCAGAGGCATCTCAGAATGTAGTACTACGAGATTTTCTGGACACAGATCATTAAGATGACGTGACTTGGGTCAAATGAAACAGATGTTGATGATCATATGAAACTGTGCCATATGTGAATGAGTGATGTGATTTGTGTTCTTATTGGTTAACTGACTGGATGATTAGTTCATTGGTTGAGTGGATCACTGATTCCTTCATCTAATCACTCCTGATACCATTCTAATATCTCTCACTTTAGTGTGGCTCATTTTTTGTAATGTATAACTCTGTCAAAGGATTCATATACTGAAATTCTCCTTCTTTGGATTACGTTATTTTGGTATAGAGATCACAGGTTGTCCTGTTGTTTTATCCAAGCAATGGTGTGTGATGAACAGTGGATGCTTGTGAGTAGAAATTACCTCTTGATTAGAGTCAATTACATGGCATGCTGTGTTTCTAAAAACTGGGTGAGGAAACTCACATAAACCCATGTTTCACTTAATATTCAGTCAGTTTCAAGCCTTTCTAAGTTGGAAATGTGAGTTTAGCACCTTGTTATAAGGAATGGCAGTCTAATGTGTTTCTGCAGAAAAATCAGTGTTGTACAAAAAGTCCAAATGAAGAACAGTACATTAATATTATCCAACTTACTTATACTGTAGATGTCAAAAGAAAGAAACTTAAAGGTGAAATATGTAATATCAGAAAATCTAGCCAGCACTAGCATGAGACTCTAGGATCAATCGCCTCCACTCCACCAAGCCCTCGCTCCACTCTGCTCTGCGCTCCATCAAACCCTTTGTGAATGTGAAACTGTCACACAGTGTTACAATTTGGAGAGAAATTCACAAATCAGTGGGCAGCATTTAACTGCTGGGCATTAAAACAACATAACTCACCAAGCTGACTGCCCTGTTTCATGTCTACTGTAAAATAGCACAACTGTGTTGATAACATTTGCAGCCAGCACAGTTTGTGAACATTGGCGGAGAAATAAGAGCGAGTCCTGCACGTCCACAGAAACGTTTTGTACAGGTGCATCAGTAAAGTGCAGTCTGGGTCACAGGAGCCTTTGACAGCAGCTCTCCCCATGAAAGTACGTTTTGGGGGATGTTTCTACTAAAACAAAAATTAAATTATGTTACTTACTGTAGCTTTAAGTCAATTCCATGAGCATGCTTATTACACCCAACAGTAGAAAAGGGTTATAAAAATAATTGGGTCAGTCAACACCATTTTAATATCTGTCACTTCACCATGAAGCTACCACAAACAACCAATTAGCTTAGCTTAGCATAAAGACTGGAAACAGTGCTAACAAAATCCACTTACCAGCACCTCTAAAGCTCACTAGTTAACATGTTGTTGTATAATTTGTACAAAATCCAATGCACCCAGGCAAGAAAAAGTCCAGAACGTAACCCCTTGTAAAAACATAAATTGTTGTTTTTGTACATATTAAACAAAGAGGATACACTGTGTTAAATAATGAGAATTAAAGGTGCTGGTGGTGGTCTAATTTCTGTATATGCCTCCTGTGATGGTGCTGCATGGTTGTTCCTCCCCAGTGTGTTCAAAAGGATAAATGTCAGAGGCGGGTATAATTAATTGCAGTGTTCGTGTCATTAAATATAGTGGTGTTTTCCATCTGTACTTTGTTTAGCATTCACTGTACATTCTCCTCAAATGAGATCAGCTATAGTGTTGGTATATTTCTATTGATTTTTTGTTATTATATCAAATTAGCCACCTGTGTCTCTGTGTGCTGAGTAACCCCAGAATGACAGCAGCACACACAAACCCATTGCACAGATGTGATCCAGGGGCTTCATTTGTATTAATTGTGTGCAGTGATGTTTATAAATAACCCACTTGATGTCACTGTTCGCTGAGGCTTCCCTTTATTAGAACTACGCCTGTCTGACCCATACCATACAGTATACCCTGTAATTACATGACATAAACACCACTTCAACCACTGTATGGGCTTTGTGCTAGAGTTTGATCCATTTTGTCCACTCCTTGTGATGCAGTGTGGTCATTCATAAGGTTTGACATTCAATCACATATTCTGCTGTACAGTATATTATATATGATGTACTACTGCTGTCCACTTTGGTAAGGCACAACTTTATGGACGCCTCAGTCTCCATGGCAGCTGTTACCAGGTGCCAGAGAGGGAAACGGTGTGGAAAAGGGCCTGCTGACGGCCTGATGTCTGTCAGCAGGTGCTGTGAAAGGCTGCATATAAATTCTCCTTGACCACTTGCCTCCCTCTTTCATTTGAAGGCCAAATTTAGCCCAGGCCAGAGCATGACATGTCCTCTCATAGCTGCAGTGTGTGTTCTCCTGGTGAACACTGGTAAAGCCTCCCCATGTCCCCCTACCTATTCTTTTCCTACCTGTCCTCTTCCTACTGAACCTCTGTTGTTTTCTGCCGTTCTTCCTCTCCCTTCTTCTCCCCCAGAATGACATGGCTTTATGTTTGGCCAGAAGATGTGGAGGCTGGGGAGCAATGTTGCCACAGCTGTTCTGTTAACACCAGGGATGGTGCAGTATTTCACAGCACTGTCAACTGTGTACTGCTTGAAATTCTGCCGCTTGAATTTTAGCTGGTTTTTGAGTTTTACATGCATCTGATATGACTGGTTTCTTAGACTATTTTTCCATTAAAGTAACTGTCTCTAGCACACCTCCCACACCTCTGTATCACAGTAAAATCTGCCAGTCTTTATCCATTTATTATTAAAATTTAGTTCTTCAAATACTGTACCTCACCCATCTCCTCTTATTACTTTGTTTCACCTTCTTAACTTTTTTTCTTTCACCTTCTTATCCTCAACCTACTTTCCTTGTCTCTTAGTGATGGACCTGATCTACTGGAAGGACATGGAGCGAACAGGCATGGTGCTAACAGGGCTGGTGGTGGGCCTGCTGTCCCTGTTCCAGCTCAGCATCATCACTGTGGTCTCCACAGTCTCCCTGGCTGTCATGTGCTTCACCATATCAGTACGCATCTACTACCAAGTCCTCTACATCCTCAGCTGGGGCGATGGAGAGCACCCCTTCAAGTAAGATGCTATACTTTAAGCTGGATTTGCCCACATAAATGTTTCTCAAAACGAGCCCAAGTTCATGCAGCCAAAAGCCTTTTATGTCCAGTTTCTGTTGTTTGTATTTCATCTTTTGTTTATAGCTGCTGCATTTTAAAATTCACCTATTGTATATTGTACTTAAATCCAATAATAAAATATGAAGCTCCAGTTATGGTTAACAGTTGGTGAATGGTTTGTATTAGCATAGCTAGGGTTCAGGAAGCTAAATAATGAAAATAAAGGTTGTAGTAATAAGCAACATGCTGTTTTAATGTGGTTGTGCTTGAATGCAAATATGTGTTTTTGAGTTTTTACAACATCAGTACTTTATTGGTTATTTGAACAGATATTCCCATTCCAGTGTATTAAATGATAGCTGCATAGAATTGATTTGATCATAAAAGCCTGGTGGCGACCCAGCAAACCGAAGCTATTGGTCCTTTGACCTCTGGACACATTGGAGTGACAGTGGAGTGGAGAGAGCTTATATTTGGGCTTAAAAGCCTCCTTTCTTCTGCACCTTTCCTCTTGTTGCTGTCTCATTTTCTCTCAGGTCATATTTGGACCTGGACATCAGCTTCAGTGGAGAGCAGGCTGACCTGTACATGCAGAAAGCCATCATCATGGTTCTATCTGCTGCTGACACTCTGAAGAGGCTCCTTTTTGTTGGAAACCTTTTTGATTCCATCAAGGTGAGCTGAGCTAGCAAATGAAGTTAGTCTTGCTTGGCTTGTGTATGCATTTGTGTGTGTGTGTGTGTGTGTGTGTGTTTGTGCGTGTAGACTGTTCAGTCTCTGTTTACTGTCCTAATGACCTGTCCTCAAAGATTTGCTTCACCCTTTCCATGCTGCTCCCAGATAAGGGTACTACTGTATCAGTGTTGGCAACTCTCATTCCCAGTGAAATGTTTTTTCATTCAGTCGTAATCATGTGCAAAGCAAGCAGTCCCTTTGGAACAAATCCTGTCAGATTATTTTGAATTTGTACTAACAGGACCAGGAGGCAGCCTGCTTTGCTGTTCTCCTCTGTGCTATAGTATTTATCCAGCCTCTGGTATCCCTCTCTTGTTAGCAGAACTGAATCATTATGTTAATATTCATCAGGTTTACATAAATCTGCCAGTAACAAGTGTCATTATCTGTTGCCACAGCATTTTAAACTCATATTTCTTTGTTGCATTTTAAACCAGTGCTTGAATGACTTTAGGTTCATGTTATTTCTCTGAAAGATCTTTTGTTAGTTATGTAGTTGTTGCCTGTGACGACACAAATAACACAAATGCCAGAAGTCTTTCATTGAAGGGTCCTTGTAATAAAAATACTAAATGTGGCACAATTTATACTTTTGAATTTATTTTAGATGCTAGGATTGTGTGTTTAGTTATAAACACACAGGTCACATCAGTAGCAGCAATCACTGTTAAAGGATAGTAAGTAAACTCTGCTTATGGCATAAAATGCTGAATATCATATGTGCAACAGTGTCAGATGAATTGTCCATATAAATAAGTGCACATCAGCAAAAGTCACTTTAGTTCATCCTTAATATAATTCATTTCAGTAATGAACAGCAGCAGTTTGTGACTGGACAGACTTAGCACATTTACAGTAAATGGTGAGGCAGTGTGAGTTGACTGAGCCCCTAAATCCCAGGACCTCCCAGTCTCAACCCTGACCTGGCCGGTATGTGACATAGCAGACAGGAGGCCATACGCAGAGACCTGGGATAAGCTGGAGTCTTTTTCCATTGGAGACAGGGGTGTCCCGTATCAGGGCGGCACTGGATCTCATAGACAGACTGGGGCACTGAGAGGCATATGGGGAAGCACTGAAACCTATACTGGGAGTTGTGTATTTGGAGCTTTTTTCATCATCATGAAGAAAATACTGAATCCTGTATTAGATATCCACAAAATAATACAGCGGAGGGAAATTAGCAGTATTCCAGCATGACTTAGTGTTTTCTGAAAGAATGGAAGTAAAGGCAGATGGAGCAGTGCTGGAGGGTTTTCCTGATGTCTGCACGAATCATAGTTGAACCAACTGTCTGCAGCTGTTTCTTCGTTTCTGTTTTTATTGTTCTTAGTTGCTGGTTCTGATGTACTTTGTGACGTACCTGGGAGACCTGTGCGGTGGCCTTACTCTGCTCATCATTAGTAAGAAGCAGATATCACCACTGGAAATATAGAGTCTGTTAAGATACTGCACAGCTGTCATGTTAAGTACTCTGCATTTCCATCTTTCTCCTTCAGGCGTGATCGCTCTCTTTTCTCTGCCACTTTTCTACAGACGGCGCCAGGTAATAACACTTTCCAGTCATTCTTTATATTGTTACTTTAGCTGGCCCTTGATTTCCATATCCATAAACATATATTCTTCTCCTTTTGTTATGTTACAGGAGCAGGTGGACGGCTTCATTGCAAAAATCCAGGGCCACGTTAACAACATCAAGGACTTGTGAGTATGACGCCATCTACTGCTGTAACACAGCTTCACTGGTGTGTTCTAAAGAGGTAGTTTGTCCTCAGTTGATACTAACACCCACACTTGCATTTGTCACAGAGTCCAAGTGCCAATATAAGACGTTTATGAGACTGCACATGTCAAAAGCCATCCTGTCACTCACACGAACACATGGCTCAGTTGAGCTCAAGCACTTTCTTGGTTTTATTTATTTTTCATATAATGAACAAATGAATAAGATCTGGCATGCCATTTTTTTCTAAACCATTTAGTCCCAAATGGGGTCACAGGGGGCTGGAGCCAATCCCAGCCAGGTGCGGGTGAAAGGCAGGGTACACCCTGGACAGGTCACCAGCCCATCGCAGGGCTAACACACAGATGAACAACCACTCACACACACACAAGCACTCCTACGGGCAATTTAGAGACACCAATCAACCTAAGCTGCATGTCTTTGGACTGTGGGAGGAAGCCGGAGCACTCAGAGAGAACCCACACAAGCACAGGGAGAACATGCAAACTCCGCACAGAAAGGCCCCAGGTTGGCCGGGGCTCGAACCCAGAACCTGCTCGCTGCGAGGCAACAGCGCTAACCACCGCTCCATCTTGCTGCCTCATCAGATCAGGCATGATGCATCACAATTACAGTCAGGTGATGGTGCACATTCAGAATCTGGGAGGAGTAATGCAGTTGATAAGACAAATGTAGTTATCTTAAAGCATGAAGACCTACGATCGTACATATTGTCACCTGGTTTCAGTTCAGATTTACAGGTCTGGAACCAGATTAAGGCAGAACATGACATTATGTTGAATGATTTTTGTCTGTTAACATGTTTATGGAAACTACATACCTAGTCCTAAATATTATTGATAATATTTGTATTAAAAGTGTAGATATGCAATTTTATCCTTGCCCCTCTCATCCAGGAGGGTAGATAACATCTGTGCAGTGTTCAAACACCATCTTAATCGTAATCCACCAGCTGTAGGACTAGTGGTGTGCAGTAGACAGTGGTGAACTGTGGGATACACTACACTCTGAATAAATCAGAATACATGCTTCATGTGCATGCAACACAGTTTTAGGTTTGTTCCTCTGACTTTTTATTAAAGAGCCAGATATGTTGTAATGCAGTTTTTAATCTTTTGTGCTGATGATTTAACACATTCACTTTGACATACTCTTCCCAAGCTTCCAGAGACTTGCCCAGGGTGGAGGCCCTCCGCCTGACCCAACTCCTGGTGGGGCCAAACCCAAATCCCAGTAAACACTGATGAACAAGAACTTAAAGGAAAAGCTCCCAGAGGTGCAGGCTGTCACTCGGATGTCTTACTCAGCAGTCTTTGCTCAGAGCTCCAGAGACTGGGAAAGAGAAGTTACTTAAATGGACCATAATGGGCGATTATGTATGGTACTTTAACGACATCAAAGGCGTCAGTGATGGAAAGACTCAACAGTGCAGCTCGTCTTGTGTAAAAATGACTTGAGAAGTGTTTCAGAAGGTGGTGTAGTCCAAGTGAGGCACTAAGACCAGAAACGGGAGCTGACAGTTACACACCTAAGAAAAGGGGAGTTTGTTTTTAAGGGGATTTAGGGTAGAGGATGAAAAACAATGGTCATCATTAATCATGGCAGCATAAAACTGGCAAATAAGAACGCATGTGTTAGCACATGTTCCATTTTCATGACTGTTTATGTGTGTGTGTGTGTGTGTGCAAGTATGTGTGTTTGTGTGTGTAATTCCTGACACAGCTTGCTGAAATGTTACCTGTGAGCAATTAAAGCCACATTTCTTCTTGGATTTTCCAAAACTTTTTTTTTTTTTCCATTCACACAAGCATTCATCTCACTTACACCATCATTCAGACATTTCTTTTCCTTTTATCTTGGCCATGTTTTCTCATTGCTTACACTCACTCTGTCCTGCTTTCCCTTAATCATTGATGTATGTACGGAAAGCTGATGGATTTTACTCAGAGAGAAAAGTGAGTTCTGCAACAACGTTAATACTTGGTATGTATCACAAATGGAATAAAATTGCAGGACAAGAAGTTTCTCACTGACAGAGAATCACAGATGTCACTGTTGCTCAGTAGTTTTATGATTGTGTAGATGGATGAGATTTTATGGTCCGGCTTCAGAGGAAACTTGTGAAGGAATGTGGGAGTGATATACTGCAGGTGCCTTTCTAGTGTTATACTGCACTATAGGTTATAGTGCATGATCTGATTCACAGTACTTACAGCTGCTGACAGCCACTTACAGCAGCCTGTGAACATGTACAATACCTGTGTGATAGTAAATGTCTACCATGACAAAGTATCTTAAACTGAATTGTAAGTAGATACATTTTAGGAATAATAAATTTATTCAGGATAGTCTGCAGCTCAAGTCCACATTTCCCTTTAGCAGTTGCTTTTAAAGCAAACCTTGTCTGTTCCTATGCCTTATTAATGCATAATCTCCTCATGTCCTGCAGTGAAAAGCCTTGTGATGTTAACAGACATGATCCATCTACACCAGCTGTACACACACTGGCCTCCTGTAGCAATTGTCTGTGCTGATACAAATGTTTTTGTCTTGGACTTGCTTCCAAGAGGAAGTTCAGTGAAGTGAATGGAGATTGCAACCAAATTAAAGTGACTAATTTTCTTATCTATCTGCACAGCATGACACATTCAAAAAGGTTCATTTCCCTTTGATCTGTCCTGTCCAATTATATTTAAACAAATCTGCTGTTAATCTTGTCAAACTCATTATTTTCAAATGCTTGGCTCTTTATATTTGCTGTGTGAATGAAAGATACATCCAAACAGGAAGGTAACTTTTAGGTCATTTAAAATCAGTCCACATAAACCTCATTATACATGATAGCAGTACACTGATTATTTTGTATTCTTCAAAATAACTTTTAACATAAAAAATAAGCACTCTGAAAAGCTATCACAGTCATATTGTGATTTCTTAGATAGTTAGTACTCACCAACATCAATATCTTGTCTCAGTAATTTCATTTTTAATATATTACAGACAGGAGTGAAAAAGACAAATGAAAGACCTTATTGTATTTGACCATATCTATATTATTGCCATAATGTCCACATTAACTGTGTTTGAGTAAAGGCTGTAATGTGATCTCCAAATTTTGACAAAATATATTCTAAATTGGCTGTTTTTGATCCCCATAAATGCTGCATGTATGGGTTCAGATAAGCCACTGGGACATAATGGTAATAACAGGGCTCCTGCCAAATAATATTTAGGTGGCAGGTCAAAAAATATCCTGCAGTTTTTGTCATAATATAAAAAGTAAAGTGATTAACTTGTGATAGGAACAGGTCATCCAATTTTATATTGAGCCAAAAAAGTAATAAAAATACATTTCTGCTGTTAAACATGTTAAACAGATCATTTTGAGTGCAAAACAGGAGGGCAAATAGTGTTTACTCGTGTTTTAATTTAAAGAAAAGATGATGCCTCACTTGTACTAGAAGCAAGTCATGTCGGTTTACTCTGTATTCTTGCTTCACCAGAAGGGGGCAACAAGAGTCAAGACAAACTTCCATCCCACTTTCCAGGTGTAATGTATCTGACCACTTGGAAATGAGAAACAAGATTATCTCATCAGCTGGACTTTTTAGAATTGTACCCAGTCACAATAAAAACTCATTTTGAATGTGTCCATATCACTTGATAGAGCTACTGTATGTAGAGTTTCAACTCTACAGAAGTCAGATGTTTACATGCACCTCAGCCAAATAAATATAAATTCGGTTTTTTACAACTCCTGACATTTGATCCTATAAACATTCCCTGTCTTAGGTCAGTTAGGATCACTGCTTTATTTTAAGACTATGAAATGTCAGAATAACAGTAGAGAACAAGATGTATTTCAGCTTTTATTTCTTTCAGAAGTTTACACACACTCGGTTAGTATTTGGTAGCTTTGCCTTTAAATTGTTTAACTTAGGCCAAATGTCTTCTACAAGCTTCTCACAGCTGCTGGAGTTTGAGCCCATTCCTCCAGACAGAACTGGTGGAACTGGGCCAGGTTTGGAGGCCTCCTTGTCTCACTTTTTCAATTCTGCCCACAAATGTTGTATTGGACTGAGGTCAGGACTTTGTGATGGCCACTCCAGTACCTTGACTTTGTTGTCCTTAAGCCATGTTGCCACAACTCTGGAAGTCTGCTGGGGTCACTGTCCATTTAGAAGACCCATTTGTGACCAAGCTTTACCTTCCTGGCTGATGTCTTGAGATGTTGCTTCAGTACATCCACATAATCTTCCTTCCTCATGATGCCATCTATTTTGTGAAGTGCCCCTGCAGCAAAGCACCTCCACAACATGATGCTGCCACCCCCATGCTTCACAGGTGGGACAGTGTTCTTTGGCTTTCAAGCCTCCCCCTTTTTCCTCCAGACATAACGATGGTCATTATGGCCAAATAGTTCAGTTTTTGTTTCACAAGACCAGAGGACATTTCTCCAGAGATCTTTGTCCCCGTGTGCACCTACAAACTGTAGTCTGCCTTTTTTATATCGGCTTTAGAGCAGTGGTTTCTTCTTGCTGAGCAGCCTTTCGGGTTATGTCGCTATAGGACTCGTTTTACTGTGGATATAGATACTTTGGTACCTGGTTCCTTCAGTGTCTTCACAAGGTCCTTGCCAAAATGACAGTCTGTTAAACATGGTATTTGTGGAGTGGTTAAAAAAATCAGTTGACTTCAAGCCAAGCATATGTAAATCTTCAACTGTAGCATCAGTTTGTGGCCACTGGCTGCTTTTTGTAGGCTCAGCTGTCTACAAATTAAAGTAGGTCTGATGAAATGTTAGGACTGTTCAGAATGGACATCAAAGATGTCTCCTCTCTGGTGAGGACAAGTCTGGACTAGTCTGCAAACGGGCAAACACAGTGAGCTCAGGACTTCACAATTGCTTGACCCTAAAAAATATCAGTAGGTTGTGCAGGTATAACTAATCTAATACATACTTAATAATAATAATAATTTTGATATGTTATATGCAAAGCTACACTAGGTCTATGAGACAAGGTTTGTCCATCTATGGTGTGAGGATCATCATTTGGGAGTTTAAAATGTACATATTGTGGCTGTTCTTGTAAAAGGAAATTTTTATTGCACATTCTAACCATTAGAGTCCTATGTTTTGGCTACATACCTACACGTATCATGCATATGTGACCACTGTCAATACCGTTCAGAACAGAAAAATCCAGCAGCAACCCAGACGTGACGGTGAGCACGTCAATGTATGTAAGACAAAAGCCTCAGGGTGCACATTTAGATTCAGCTCTCTGATGGGAGGTGGTGTGGGTGGGATTAGTCAAATTTAACTGACGATATAATGCCTTAGACCGGCCCTTGAATTGTCAGCCCGGGTGGTGCTCTGCCCCACTGGATTTGACAGCGCACAGGACAAGAGGACAGGTTTTGCGCACGCTTGCCATCAAAAGCATATGACAGACTTGCAGTAGAGAGGGAAGCCCGGTCTCATGGTTGGTGCTTCATTTGCCCTTCGAGGGGAGCGTGGAGAAGTGCTGGCTGATTGAATGTCACCTACACTCACCATGGATTATGGACGGACCATGGCTCCTCCGGTGCCCCCGCATAATCCTAAACCCGCCCGGCCAGGGCAGGCGCAGGAGCGGCTCCTGAAGTGCGTCCTGCTCGGCGACGGAGCGGTGGGCAAAACCAGCCTGGTGGTGAGCTACACAACGAACGGCTACCCAACCAGATACGTTCCTACTGCATTTGATGACTTCTCTGGTAAGACAATCCAAAATACTGCAGATTTTCAGTCTGAGATTCTGTTGTATATGAACATATCGCACAAGGAATTCATTTAGTTTTATGTACAAGGAAAGCCTCATTTTTTCAGATCAGGGGTTTTCACACACTATTCGAAATTTGCAAAGATTATACATAATCGTACAAGTCCAGTGTAGATTCGTGTATTGAGACTGGAGCCCAGGATCAAACTGGGGTAAATTCTGGCGAATGAAACTTGAACATTTCAAGTTTTCCATTTTAGAGGTTAGCCAGTTTGACTCTACCTGCCTATCTCACCCATTTTCACTGAACTCTTTTTCAACTTTGTATGCTCTGAGAGCACCCACCCATTCTGCCATTTCCCCCTATTATTTTACTGTGATGAAAGATGTGTGTTTCCTATTATTTGCTTTCCATCTGTGTCAGTGTGTTTGACTTATCTTCTGTGATGCAGCCAGGTTTCCATTTGGCACGGTTCCACTTTCTAACATGTCTCACTAGTCCCAGCAAGCTTTGTTGACTGAAAAATAAGAGCAGGGAACAAAATCCTTCAAATGGGGCTTTATTTTTAAAACAGATCAGTGTTGGCATGACATAATACACTTGTGACCTGTTGATCACCTTTATTGCTTCATGATCACATCTTCAGAGTCCCTCCTTAGCTTTCATGTAGAACCTTTACTCTTTCAGATGCTCTATCTGCTTGCGACTACCTGCTATTATTTACTCTTTCAGATCTGCTTGCGACTACCTGCTATTATTTTCTGCAGCATGCAAGAGTAGGCTAAAATATGATCTTAGAATACAGGAAACAATATTTGACATAGTGCCCTATGAACTGACTTGTACACTTAAACATTTGTGCCAATAATCTTAGTTCATTCTATGACAATACATCGATGAGCAGAAAAATAAATCAAGACAAATCCCTTGAAGCGTTCAATGAGAACGCTGCCCTAGAAGCTCACTGGCTCAGTCCTCCCATACAGAACAGAGAGGGCGTCTGGTTCAGGTTTTGGATTGCACAACTCTGCCTATTGTTGTCAACCTTGACCCACGAACCCTCTCTTCTATACTGGAATGGGCACATCTGTTGCAGTGACTCTGAGGCAGAGATTGTCTTTCACCGCCGCCTGACAGAGAGTGATTGTGCAGTTGGGGCCTCAGATGGTGATGTCATTTCTCAGTGCCCAGAATAAGGGCATTCTCATGAAAGATGACTTTTTCACAGTTATGCAATGCCACAGGTGCTAGAGACGCAGAGGAGGATGGGAGAGAGGGTGATAGGAGGGAGTTTTGTCCAGAAAATCAAGGGAGTATCATGTGTCAGGGATTAGAAAATGATTACACAATGGCAGCTCCCTCTTGCTTTCGTTCCCTCCTCTGGTCTTTCTCTTTGCTTTTGTCAAAGCTGGGTGCCACGATGCCTGTCCCACTACATGAATGACTTCAGCAGGCTCTTTGATCAGGTGGTATGTCCAACCACACACTCCAGGTGTATTGTAAATGTGTCCTTGTGCCTGTTGCTCTGCATTGTGCTCTCTCTCTTCTGAAAAGAATAAATGGCCCTATGATGAAACTCGCTGTAAGATGACTCATCCACTTTTCCAATCTAGAAATTAGGCCTTTTGGAAGAGAGTCACAGAGAAACAACAAAATCTGCTTTGTTTTTACCCCCCTAGTAGACAACCATGGAATGGCCTTTGTCAAAACACAGAGATCTGCTCGATGAGCGGTTACGATCAACAGTAACTGGTGGAGTGGGTGGGCAAGACAGTGCAGGCCTTCTGTGAGCTGGAGGAGCAGAGCAGGGGGTCTTTGTTTATTACAGGCTTTTGTTTATTACAGAGAATCATCTGGTGGGTAGCTGTGTGTGGGGGGGTTAACTTCTGAACTGTCAGGTAGGGCCTTTATACACTGGTCATGCTGACTGCTGTTTACAACCATTTTCTGTCTCGTCTGTTTCTGTATCCACAGCTGTGGTTCAGGTGGATGGAAACCCCATTAGGCTACAGTTATGCGATACTGCAGGACAGGTGAGTTTTGTTTACACACAAGCATACACTGCGTTATTGTTTGGCAATTTGCTTCTCAGTCTTTGATGCACATACTGTAAATGCGTTAGGGCCACCACATTGGTCTAGACTGAAATATCTCAGTAACTATTGGATGGATTGCCATGAAGTTTTGTCCTGATTTTCACAGTCCCCAGAGGATGAATCCTAATTACTCTGTGATCACCTAACTTTTCTTATAGACCACCATCAGATCGAAGCCTTATCTAGTAACTTTGTTTATCACCAGATACCTGTATTGCTAATTAGTAAATGTTAGCATGGTAACACACTAAAATGTTACTGTGAATATGGTAGACATTATACCTGCTAAACATCACTGTCATTATGAGCATGTTAGTATGCTAAAGTTAGCATTTAGCTCAAAGCACCACTGTGCCTATGACCTCACAGCCTGTGGCTGCTTCTTGTTACTTTACCATTCATGTACCTTTTAATCCACTTGTTAACTATAAATGCCAACAACTCCACTGTGCCAGTCTCTCACATGTGAAGATTTGTTGCTTTTGAACAATTTTACATGTGCTACTTTTTACCTGATAAAACAATCTATCTGACAAGGACATCTAATATTATATTGTCTTGTTTTAATAATTTTTGGATTTTTAATAGATTAAATAAATTATTGATCAACTGGGGGGAAAGCTGAATACATAGTATACAGTATATGCAGTATATAGTATATCACTTAGTTGCTGATGTACTGTTTGCGTGTTCTAGCCAGTCTGCATCTGCTTTCCACCTTTCTTGTAGGGTTTCTTATGGCCTTGTTGCCTGTTATTTCATGTTGCTCACCAGTGTAGAAATAGCAGAGCATCTGGGATCTGCTGTCAGTCTTCTTTTAAATTAGAAATAACACAGTTCCATACAGGTATAGCTTACATATGGTCGTGCAGTGGCTGTGTGTAGAAGGAAAGTGGAAAGTGAGCAGGTTGGACTGGAGGTGAAATGACAGGGTGGTACAAGAAGCTTGCCAGGCAAAAATAACTAACTCATTATGATATTGGTAGAGCAATCTTGGAAAGAACAGGTTGTGAAAGAAAGTTTTTAATTACCTGGAGGCATGGGTGGTTGTTTTATAAACTCAATAGCACCCTGCCCTGGGAGCAGCATATTTGACATCCACAAACTCCGAGAAGGTACTGGCTGTTCAAAATAAAATCAAGGAAATTTTGGCCGTAAAGTGGAAGGAGGCATTTGAATAAGCCCAACAGCATTTTTACGAGCTGCACACAGTGTTAAAACTGCACACACACAAATACTGTATACATATAGACACACATGCACACAGACAAGCGCAGGCAAATACGGGCAGATAAAAGTTGGCAAACACTCACTGTACTGATGCAATTTCATCAGAGGGGTACTGGTGCCAGAAGCTCTCTGGGGTGTGCCAAAAAAAGATATGAGAGAGAAAGAGAGAGAGGTAGAGAATAAGTTGGAATGGCACAGCTGGAACAGAAAGGCAGAGAAGGTCTTCAGGAAGATGATAACAGCTGCTGCCAAAGCCGATAAACAAAGTCGCTCCTTACTCAGAAATGTTGATGTGGTTCCATAATCTGCAGCTGGACCTACGTCATCAGATCCCAGGCAAAAACCAACACTTGTGTGGGAGACTCAAGTTGACTGTCGACTGCATTTGTTAAGCGTCAGCTTGTTTAGATTACCGATCGTTTGTTTCTGCAGATTGGGTTGTTTTAAAATCAAAAAAGTGTCGGCATAGAGGGATTAAGAGGTGTGAGCTGGAATAGAATGGGTTAAGAGAAAGAAGGAGATGTTTGTGTCAGTTTCTGCCAACCTTAATCTATGTGCTCAAGGGTGTGGGAGGCCCTTGTTAGTCGAAGCTGTGTGGCTCCTGAGTGTTTTAAGAGATTTACTGTAGATGATATAAATGAGGTGGGCATGGCTATGTGTGCTGTGTGGTAGCATAATATAAACACCATCTAGACAGTTTGTTATTGAAGGGTTATTCCCATTGCTGTGTTGTTATAGTGTTTGAGTGTGTTGACCGGTGAAGTGATTACTGAAAGTGCGTGTGTGTGTGTGTGGTCCATGGTTGAGAAGTGAAGGGAAACATTTTGCCAGAAAGTAAGGATTCTGAACAAGGCCCAGTGGAAAATCCTCAGACCTGTTTGTTGATTGAAATCGTGGACAACACCACATTGCTCAGTATGTGTCTCTCTCTCTATCAGGATGAGTTCGACAAACTCCGCCACTTCTGCTACAGTCGGACCGACGCCTTGCTGCTCTGCTTCAGTGTGGTCAGCCCTGCTTCCTTTCAAAATGTCTGGGAGAAGTGGGTCCCTGAAATCTGCCGCCGTTGCCCTCTCACGCCCATCCTCCTAGTAGGTACACAGTGCGACCTTCGGCAGGACGTCAAGGTGCTGATCGAGCTGGCGAGGAGGAGAGAGAGCCCCGTGCCGGAAGAAGATGCCAGGGCATTAGCAGAAAAAATTGGGGCAGTGACGTATATCGAGTGCTCCGCGCTGACACAAAAGAATCTGAAGGAGGTGTTTGACGCAGCCATTGCTGTGGGGTTACGGCACTGTGACAGGAGGCCGCGGCGGGAGAGGAAGGTACGCAGCACAGCTGATAAGATGAAGATGCTTTCCAAGTCCTGGTGGAAGAAGTATGTGTGCGTGCAGTAGGGAGGGCGGAGATAATCGTTCTGTGACTGGTATAAAACTGGAACTGCTGACTTGTTTGGAAGGACTGTATTGGATGTAGGGGCTTCTGTTTTCACAAGCACCTGGGTGATTCCAGATGCTCTGGCTAGAATAACTTTAATTCAGTGGAGCAACAGCTCAACAGGGAGTGTGTCTGCCTGAGCTGTGGAGCAGTGGATGGTTTCAGTTTGACCAAAAAAGATTCTTTGCTGATGCCTGAAAAGAGAGGCTGTAAACCACTGTCTGCTCCTTACGACCAGTCTGAACTATTAAACACGACTGTGACCAGCATCCAACCAAAAATGACAGAGCTAGTAAGATTTTATGGTACATGATCAGCATATCATACTGGACTTGTCCAAAGGAAATGGAGGGGAGGTGTTCAGTTGGTGATGCTATGTGTACTAAAAGTATACTCCTCCTAAGTGTCTGATTTGATACCCTTCTTTTAAAAAGTATATAATTTTATTTGTTCTACACTGTAATTCAGCCCCCAACACGTCTGATAAGTATTCAGTGTAAACCGCCAGTCAAAGATATAATAATTCTACCAGCGACAATCAAAGCTAAACCTGCACCAGTTTCCAAAATCAGAAACATTCATACAGTAACTTCAGTGACAAATTAAGTGTTGGAGCAGATCAAAATTATTTGAACTCATTCTCTTTTGGGTTGCAATCAAATGTAAATGAGTATAAATTTTATAGCATTCTTGAGCATAGTTTGAATGGATTACATTGTGCTTTCAACTGTCACCTTAGTCTGGCATTGACTTCTGTGTGACTGCAAGCTGGTGTGGGGATTCCTCTATACCAGCTCGTGTCTGTGCCACCTTTTGGAGCGTTGATACAGCTGTCACACTGTTAGTCCACCACATAGTCAGATTTGTAAGCCTCCCCACCAATAAACACCAGCCAGTCTATACTGGATAACATATTTTCTTTAGGTTTTGAAGGTTTGAACATTTCAGGTGTTCACTTTGGCTGAAAAGCTTCAGGCGAAATATTATAGCCAGTTCATTAGTTTCAGCGACTTTTTGTTACTGATACAGGGTCGTAGCAATAAGTTGGGTGGTGCCACTGTACATTGCACTTATTACACACGGTCCAGACACATCACCGAGATCTTGCCATGCACTGGCCTTTGAACAAGTGATGTGGAAACTTGATACAGAGCAAGTGGTGCTTGACACACAGGTTTACTCAGTGTCACTGAAATGGATGAGTCTGATCTGCATGTTCCCTGCACTACAGCACTGGGTTGGATGATCGCAGGGTCTTTCTTTGTCATTGTAGTCTGCGGCCTTAGACAGATAATTATCTGTCTTTGTTGGTTAGTATAATAGAGCTCACTCCTCTTTTGAAATCATGCAGTAAATGAGGTGAAATCACTGACTGATTCTATGTTTGCTTCTTATTTTTCAGAAGCCTGTCATTCAGCTCTGTCTATTTATCCGTTCCTTGTCAGCCAATAACTGATCAACAGCAATGCAGCGCAGATGTACTGTATGAAAAAGTCATATGTCATTATGTATGTCACATAGTAATCATTTATGATGTTTGTAATGTCATCAGGATTAATCTGTGTGTACATACATAAGTGACTCGGTCACTGGCCGTGCTGTCCAACTCTAAATGGTACTTCAGTGTTTCAGTTGGTGTCTGATTCTTGCATGAGAGCAGTCTGTTGAGCTGTATGAGAGAAACACAATAAAATGTGAAATATTTAACTTGTTGTCACTGTTGACTCTTCTGTGGAGATATTATAGATTAAAATTGTACCATATAAAAAAAATATATACTTCCCTATATGGTGAATACAAATACAAGTGTGACTTTAAAGATAAAGCCTCAGAGCTTTTGTCAGCATCAAGACTTCTAACTATGCAGGATCAGATGATTATAATGACCTAAAATAGGCTTTCCCTCCTATTCATAGTGATGTGTCACCACAGTATACAACAATAGGCAGGGAATGACAGTTAGCTAGTATCTTGTACTTGTTTAGAAGCACTAATGATAGGGTAGACAGCTAAAAGAAAGTCTGTGTCGTCTGGCAGCCTACAGATCAGTACGTTGTCCAAGCCTCAGAATGGGTGAAACTCAAGTAGGAGAGATGCCAAGTGGTCTAATTATGATGGTCGGGATGGCTCCACTTTCCACCAGTATTTTAGCGGTAAACAGAAATGTTGTATCTTAGCAAGGCAGCCAGCCGTCTTGTGATTTAGCAATGTGGTGTGTGTTTTTGAACGTGAGATCTACCTGTCTGCTAGAAAGAATAGTTAATGTCTGTGTTTAAAAATCTTGAGCTGTCCATCATGAAGCTAACAGACAGGGTATATATCATACAGTAGGTCTATACATCTTTAAGATTTCACAGTATCTACAGTAAGTGCCTCACCACTGATTTAGAAAACTGCTTAATCTGAGTCCTTGAGGTAGAAAACACAGAAAAGCCCATGGAAGGGTCTGGGTAACCATACATAACAACCCCTACAGTAACGTGTGGTTTTGACTGAAAGGACAAATAAAACATGTCTGACAAAATATTGTTATTCAGTGGTAACTGGATGCGTTTGAGCTTTTTCACATTCACCTGTTCACACATGCAAAACCAACATTTGTTTTAGCATCTGTCCT